CAGTCCAAACCATCAGATATGGCCTGGAGACCCCAAACACTTGGGGGCCTTCTTGCAAGGCCTGTGAGAAGGACTGGAAGCATAATCCATATTTGCAGGACAAAGACCACAGGGAGATATAAAATGAAGGCCCCTGCATGTTTCAGTACTCAGATTTGGAAAGCTATTCCCTGAGTCCACTGGCGTAATTAAACAGTGTCCCTCCATTTCTTTTAAGTGTCACTTGGTGTCTCTTGGGTCTTCTGCAACATCATAACCATCAATTCTGCTCACTTATGTAGTTTTGTTCTATAAAGTAGCCATGAACACTGAGTTTGTACATAAGGAACCATTGTTCTTAGCTATAATATAGGGTTAAGTTTCTGTGAGCCTCTGGTCCCAACATTTTCATCAATCAACACATAATCTAGTTTTATCTGTTTCTGTATAAAGACACCTATTTAATATATATTATGGATTCATTAACATTGACTTCATGGCCAACTGCTCTATTACTTACCTGATGAAGCTTACCTAACATATATTTTCTCTGTAAGGCACATCACAACCTTCTTACACTTAGGAACACTAGACAACACTTAAATACTATACTGTGACATTTTAAACAGTGAAGTCAACATTAAAAAGTACAAACTAAACAATCTGTTTAGTGCAAAATAATGTGGTACTAAATATAGGGTGTCCCCCAGAAAAGTATACAAACAATGAGGGTATTTCCTTCCTTTTATGGTCTCCATCATTTTTTTCCTGTGCATTTATAGAATATGGGTAGGTGGTAAAAGGATTTAGAATCCCATTTGGAATCTCAAAGAAGTACCTGTGTCACCAATTATTGTCTATAATAATAATAGCACCTCTTCCTTCTGTCTCAGAGAAGCAAGTCTGAGTGTTGGGTCAATAACCTTTCTATGATTAAAATGCATGCACAAACCCAAATGCACACAGAAAAGGTAATAAGCATTGTCAAAAACATAGCAGCTTGCCCTAACTGGTTTGGCTCAGTGGATAGAGTATCGGCCTGCATACTGAAGGGGCTCAGGTTCGATTTGGGTCAAGGGCATGTACCTTGGTTGCGGGCACATCCCTAGAAGGGGGTGTGCAGGAGGCAGCTGATCGATGTTTCTCTCTCATTGATGTTTCTAACTCTCTATCTCTCACCCTTCCTCTCTGTAAAACAAATCTAAAATATATTTTTTTAAAAAAGTGGGAGAATGGATTCATTCATTCTTTCATTTCATTCATTTATTCTAAAAATGTCATGTGTCAGAGACCACTTGAGGCGATGGCAATATATCAGGGAATAGATAAGTTCCTTCTCTCCTGACCCTCCAGTTTCCTTGGTTCTGCCTTCCCCTTCCTGGCTCCTAAAAACCCCTGTCTGCACTGAGATATTAAGATTGTCTTTGAGACAACATTCCCCTATCTTATGAAGCTGCTGGTTCTTGAATAAACCTGCTTTCCTTCCATCAGACCCTGTCTCTTGATTATTGGCCTTTGAGCAGCAGGTTTGGTGTCATTATCATCCCCCAATGTTATAGAATAAATGAAGTACAGCTCTTTGGGCCTGTGTTATTATAGGACAGACTGCATGATGGCATAGAAAAAACACACTGAGGGATGCTGGGATGGTACCATATGCAGATGGTGTTCCCATCATCTCCCTGATGAAATTGTAGAAGCCAATGTCTATAACAATGCTTGGTGTAGTTCATGGCATAGTTTAAGCACTCACTAAATATCCTATATAATAAAAGGCTAATATGCAAATAGACTGAACAGCAGAACAACTGGAACTACTGAACAACTGAACAACAGGTCGCTATGACATGCGCTGACCACCAGGGGGCGTGCACAAAACATGGCTGGCATCGGCCACAGCATGATAGTGGAGCAGGTGAGCGGGGGCGCCAGAACAAGGCAGGGCACCAGTCGCTGTCATTGGGGTGAGCCCCTGGTGGTTACTGAAAATTCTTTGCTCCCACGTGCCCGGGTCCTGCCCAGTGCTCACACCTGCAGCCAGCGCCAGAGCCACCGCTCACACTCACTGCCAGCACCTAGCGCTGGTCCTGATCACTTGGCGCTGTCAGCAGGTGTGTGTGGGGCCAGAGGTGTCAGCCTGTTGGAGGTGGCAGTGGGAGCAGGGCTGCCAGCAGAGAGGGGTCCTGGGCCTCAGGAGGAGGGGCCAGGTGGGGGCGTGGAGAATGGGCCAAGACTCACGCCCGGTGCTCACTGCAGCCTCGTGGCCCACAGTTCCTTTCAAGGTGCATGAATTTGTGCACTGGGCACCTAGTTGTTAAATAAACGGATGACTTGCAAAGATGCTGAATGGACCAAAATCTCCTCCATCCACGTAGTTAATCTGTAGAAAGGAAGAGATATCAATAGCAGTGCTAAATAACACAGAGGATGCTAAAGATACTGCCATTAGAATTGATTTCCTGTTGCAAAAAGTAAATCCAAGAATTTCTCTGGAACATATCATAGTAAGTATATCATGCTTATGAAGTCAGTGGCTTTGCCCTGTATTTATTCACAATCATATACAAATCACCTAACCCACTTTATAGTTACTTCTTGGCAAAATAGGGGAACAGTACCTAATCCACTAATTTGTTGAGATAATTAAATAAAATAATATACCTGAAATTGACCAATGTGTTATCAGGAACATGGTGGTGGGTTGAGCTCTCTGTGCTTCCTCACCCTCCTCACTCAATATGGGAGTGACAGGTATGTAGTGCTCAGACCTTGGAATGGAGAGCCAAAAAACAAACTGTGTGAGAAATGTCTGATTGTTATTTATGTTGTCTTCAATCAAAATGTTTAATTTAAAAAAACAAAACTCTTAGCCCCATGAACTCTATGAATTACAAAACTGCACTGGGCCCTGAGAAAGTTCCAGTCTTTCTCCCCCATCCCTGCAAAGAAACTTCTTTGACATCTCAGCATTGCAAGGCTAACACCACATTCTCAGAGAAGTCTCCTCGCACCTCACCTTCCTCCCCAACACCAGTTAAATCAGCTCACTCAAAACTCTATCCCTCATTTTGTTCTTCTTTCACAGTGTTTTCAAGAGTTTCTATCATAATATGGGTATCCCCCACTTTTCAAAAGTTCAAGTTGCACCAATTCACTTTTACTTAAGACCTGCATTAGTACCCGTATTCACTAACCAGAAGAAACCCAAAGAGGAATTTTGCTTTTAAGGAAAAAGAGAACATAGCATTCCTTGTTTGTTTTGCAGAGAGCTATTATAGAGGCAGCCACACCTGGAACAAGGAGAACGCACACCTCCCTACCCCCTTCCCTGGGAACTATACTCAGCATCTCAGCATCAAGCCACCATCACTTTGAACTGTGTCTATATGAGTCTGTATTTATCTTGATTTATTTTGTGCATCCGTTAGCAAGATGTGTTCTAAGGTATCAGCAAAGCCTTTGCTTTTGACCTTTCCCTTTTGTAGATGATTGAAGTTGCATTTTTTTTAATGGAACCATGCAGGCCCTGTGAGTTCCTGCTCCAGGATCACTAGCAGACATTCTCAAGTATATCATTTTCCACATTGTCACTTGACAAATGGCCAAGAGTCTTGGCTTATGAGATAGGATTTTTCAAGTTTCTTCACTGTTATCTGTTCTACCATGTTAATAGATTCTAAATGACCTGGAGTTATTAGAAAACTCCTAGAGGCAATTTTTAAATTGGAGCAACAATTTTTTGAGATCATTTGAATTTCACAATATCACATTTATTATTTTTCTTGATGAAAGTTCAATAATAGATGGCAGCTTTTTAAAGTTAAGAGTGCAATTTTTATTACCAGCTAAAGAGGATTAATTGGGTGACAGAAATTGACAAAAACAAACCTGTTTATCATTACATGAGTCCTGGGTCACTTAAAGGAATGGACCATTATAAGAAAAAATTCTTAACCATTATTAAAATCTGTTAGTTGAATAATTAAACATAAAATTGAAACAAGATTGCATAAGAAAACAAAATCAAAATGGCAACTCCAAAGGTGAATTAAATATGGAACCAAATAGTCAATGAAGTAGCCTGCCACACAAAAGAAACATCCATGTATAAAAGGTTGCTTTTTGTTTGTTTGTTTTTTTCTAAAGACAGGTAGTGGTCTGTGCTATGGATTCTAAAAATGTTGTGTTGTATAAGTATATGCTATATTTATGAGTTGTGAAAGATCACCTGGGAAAGGAAATATCATGCTTTTCCTTTCATAAGGAAGTGCCTAAAGCTTCCATTTCCCCTATGGACATGGCCTTGCTAAGAGTACTCTGATATTCAGATCTACTAACCAACATTTTCCTGACCCAGGCTTGGTCCAGAAAATGCACTGCCAGTTTTGATTTCTGTGACTTGACTTTAGTTTTTCTCCATAATTATCTTTTAAAAGTTAATATAAGTTTATGCTGGATTGTATGAATGAGTATCTTAGAACTAAGTACTGACATTTTATTTTATTTTTAAATATATTTTATTGATTTTTCACAGAGAGGAAGGGAGAGAGAGATACAGAGTCAGAAACATCGATGAGAGAGAAACATTGATCAGCCGCCTCCTGCACATCCCCCAGTGGGAATGCGCCCACAACCCAGGTACATGCCCTTGACGGGAATCGAACCTGGGACCTTTCAGTCCACAGGCCGACGCTCTATCCACTGAGCCAAACTGGTTCTGGCGACATTTTATTTTTATGCTTTTATTTGTGTTGTGTTTGAGACATGACTGTTGGTGTCAATTACTATTACTTTAACTGTTATGAGCTAACGAAAAAAGGACAGAGATAGACTTAGGACAAAAAATGTTTTGGGGGCCGAGTAAAGGCCAAATGCCATTATAGTACTTACACATGAAGATGTCATAGTAATTTGAATAGAAAATGAGGCAAGAAAATTGAACTGCAATGTGGTATGTAGTAGAATAGACTTGCAGCATTTCAAAGAGCTGGTACTGTAAGAGTAGCCAATACCATATTCATGTTATACACAGTAATTTTAATAAAAAGACAGTGTTACATTCAGGTTGCTAATTTCAAGTTTTTATATTTAATTTTTAAATTTGGTTTTAAAATAATATATAAGCAATACATGTGTATGTTTATCTATGAAGTTTCATTTAGGTTTAGACATTAAATAACACTATAATAAAAGTAATTTAAGTTAGTATTGGGATCAGAGAATTGAGTTCTTTACAAGTTGTCAATGTTTTATTCACGTTTGAGAAACTTGACATCAAACTTCACACCCACTGCTGGAATTATCCATAGACAGGGCACTTGTAACTATTTGTTTTACTGTTGGACAGCTCTGATCATTCAAAAGTTCAATTTTTATTGATTGGTGTAATTACATTTTTTTTGTAAGTTCCAACCATTGGTGGAACTTAAGAACAAATTAAGTCTGCTCTCTTTCTGTTGCACCTTTTAGTTATAGGAGAATAGCTATCATGTTTTTCCTTAATCTTGCTTCCACAAATATTTTTGAGAACTTACTTTGGACAAAAAATTGTACATTAGCCATTTTTCTTTTCTGAAAGGCACTACAAATAAACACATAGAAAATTGGGACTTTTATTCATATCACTAATAATAATAACAAGGAATTATTAAACTCATTAATGTGTTAGGCACTAAAGAGAGCAGATATAGAAGTACACTGACACACTATTCTTGCCTTCAAAGAGTTGAATCTAGTTGGAAATGAAGAGTAAAATTTTAGATAATATTAAATATTATAGAGACAAGCATTGTAGTTCAGAGGGGTTAGTAACCTGAGTTCTGGAGTCATTACTGGACATTTATTGGTTTCAACTAGAGTTCAGTCTTCAAAGCTACAGTGGGTCTGAATATACCCCGTGCAAACAAGTACCCAACTGCTTTGTCCAAAGTAGCATAAATGCCAAAACTGGAAATAAGTTTTTTTTGCTCTTTGTCTAGTTCTTTCTTCACTCATTATAGCTGAAAGAGAAAATCGTTACTTGAGAAAGCAAATTTTTTATTAAATCTACAAATTTTGGGAAGATCACTGAAATTTAAATTGGGCAAAATTCTAAGTCTTGTGACTGTTCCTGGTTTGGCTTGAAGCCAGTGAAAGTTGCTACAATTATTTTTGAAACGCATTTCTTTCGGATTAATTTTAGGAACAGCTCAAGCTCAAAGGACAAATTTTTTTATTTAAAAACAAACAACAACAACAACAAAAAAAGTTCTGTCCAAACAGGAAAAATACTGAAAGTCCGGGAAGTAATCGGATCGGCTGTATTGCCGGAATTCTATTTACCTCTAAGCCAGACGGAAGACTGCTTTGCACATGCGCAGAAGGGAAGCTTGGGCGGGGAGTTCCGGCGCGTTGGGTCGCGCTCCAGGCAGCGATTGGCTCCGCTCTGGCCGAGAGGCGGGACCGGAAGTGCCCGTGTTGTGGGACTCAGCTGGTTCAAACCCAGCGTCTTCCTAGCGCCCTGCTTCCCGCGGTCGGTGCTGCTCTGGCGGAGGCGCGATGGGGGAGGCGGAGAAGTTCCACTACATCTACAGCTGTGACCTGGACATCAACGTGCGGCTCAAGATGTAAGAGGGCCGGGGGCCGGGGCGGGGCTTGCTGGAGTTTGAGGAGAGGAGGCGGGGCCTGTGGGCTGAGGGTGGAAGATGGTTATTAGCCTGGAGGCCGGCCGGGGGCGGTGGGGAGAGCGGTGGCCGGGCCGAGCGGGGGACGCGGCGTGGATGGGGCGCTGCGGGAGGAGGAGAGCGGTGGGACTAAGCCCCGAAGTCTGGCGCGGTTTTACTTTCTCCGAAGCATGTTGCTGTGCACAGCAACCTTTTGAGGGGTCACTCGTCCCATTTTACAGATGAAGAAATCTAGTCTCGGGAGAGGCGCCCCGCAGGTGGTAATTGGAAGGCCTTTCCTTGAACCCGGGGCTGGGAGATGGAGCAGAGACTGCAGAGTTATGTAGACACGGGCAGATGTGGAAGCTGAGGATGAGATGAGCACATGGATATGCAGTTGGAGCCAGAAGCACGGGAAGGGACGGAGGGTTGGGGTGACTCTCTGGAAGGTCTGCATTGTTTCGCTAGCGGCGCGGGGAGCGAGTCTAAGATGAGGGTGCCAGTTGCGAAGGGACCAGCAGATAGGAGAAAAGAGCCTTGCAGGGAAGCCTTGGGGCTTCGCTGTTGAAGGAAAGGCCCAGGGCACGACCTCTGGAGATGAGAGCAATGGAAGGGAGGTGGGCCGCAGGGAGAACCGAGTCGGAAATTCTGTCCACTTTAAGGCAGTCTTGGAGGAGTGTGTTCATACGCAAAAATTACCACAAATTACTCATCATAGTATCACTGGTTACATGTCAGCAGTAAACCAGTGATCCTCAGGCAGAGGGCCGCCTACCTGCAGTGAATACATCTTCTCAGTTGTCAGGTGCCCCTTTGAGTGACTGGTTCTTTTTCTTTGCAGAAGTTACATAAGACTCTGACACTTTGCTATTTGTTTTGGGGGATGGTAAAAACAATACGTCAACAACTACACTGCCCATTTGTATAATACTTTATACACCCATTTAAGGTAATCTCTGCATCAAACTCCCCTAGATGCTTATACAGGTCCTGTATGTATACCATCATCTGGTACAGGGCTTTTTCAAAACTTCAGTATCATTCCTCTCAGTATTTCTTGGACATATTAATGTGTTTCTGGAACTTTTGAACATTAAAAGGAAAGAAAAACAACAAAAAAAGATCCATTATTAACAGATACACACATTGACTATTTCAAGGCAAAGATAAAGCATTAATCAGAAGTTTGGTAAAATTTGGTACTAACCATTTTTTAGCTTCTCAGACTGTCATTGTGTGCTTTTTTGGGGGGGATGGGGGTGCTGGCAGTGTCACTTTAGAATCATAAAATCAGAAAATAGTAAATTCTTTAATTCTGTTTTTTCTCCCCACACCTTTTAATCTATTTCTATGGTTTTAATAACAATTTGCACTTTCATGTTCCTTTTCTTAGCGCTGAAATTGAATATCAAATGGCCTATAAGACACGGTCACTTTAGATGTCCCCAAGCACTTTAAAAATAACTTGTCCCAGATGGAGCACATCATTAGCCTACCTCTCTAACTCTGAACTTCCTATATTGTCTCACCTTGTTTTGGTGATTATTAGCAACATTCATCCAGTTTAAGACACAAAAATTTGAGTCATGCGACATCGAATCTTACCTTCTCTAGTAAATCATTCACAAGTTGTCTTAAAACTACTTGCTAAATATCTTTTCTATATCACTGCTCTAGCCTTAGCCTGTCTTTTTCCTTCATAATTTTTAATGAAAATCTAACTGATCTTGCTTTCAGTTATACCTCTCCATTAGGTTCTGAAACTCCTGCCAAAGGTGTCATAAATACCAATCCGACTGTGATACTCTCATATCAAATAATTCAGTTAGATTTTTGAGTGTTCATTGTGTAAGGCATTGGACTGAATTTGGTGACTGCTTAGCCTCATTGCCCCCCTACTTTTCCTTCTCTAGCTTCTTCCTGCATGAGCTTTATGCTTTAGCTATACCAAACAACTTGAAGTTCTCCAAACATACCGTCTTCCTCTTTGCTTTGGCCTGTGCTGTTCTTTTTTATCTTTCTGGGACTTGGAGCCCCCAAGCTCCCAGACTTTTTGATGTACAGTGTCTTTCTGTGGTGGGAAGAACATTGGCTTTGGCCTTGTCTGCCCTGGTTTTTATTCTCAGCTCTGTTACTTTGTGATCCTTGATCTCTGAGTCCCTGCTTCCTCATTGATAAAATGAGGACATGGTTACAATTTTGATTTCTAATTGGTGTTTCTACCTCTTTTATAGTTTCCTGTGCCTATCTTTTATCACTTTTAATTTAAAGAAATGATCAGATAGTACATCCACGTAGTAAATACATAAAAAAATTGAAAGAATACAAAAAGAATATGCAAATAAAAGTAAGTTTTCACCCCAGAAACAAGGACTTAACATTTTCTCGTAGTGCTGTATTTTTTATCTTGTCTTTCATTTCTGGGCCACTATTCCTAGTACAGTAAATGTTTTGAAAGAATAGATAAATAAGTGTTCAACTTGAAATTAATAAAAGTGAAACTAAGGCCTGGAAAGCTGGTGATGTCTGGAAGGTAGACCAAGCGTTGATGACAGGATTTGAAATTAAGAAGCTTAAGATAGGGAAATATATTGATGAAGATAGAAATTATTGTAAGTGTGTTAGGATTTTAAGATTCCTTTACTAGATATAAAAGTAACTTTAACTTCATATACAGGAAAATATTTAGGTAGCATAAGGTCACTGTGATGCAATTATAAACTTTGGTATTTGTTGCGTATATGCTTAAAAAATGTTTGTCTAAACATTATTGTTCTTATACTTCCAGAGGGAGTTTGGAAGGGAAGAGAGAACAGAAGAGTTATAAAGCTGTTCTAGAAGACCCAATGCTGAAGTTTTCAGGACTGTACCAGGAGACCTGCTCTGACCTTTATGTTACTTGTCAAGTTTTTGCAGAAGGGAAGCCTCTGGCCTTGCCAGTGAGAACATCCTACAAGGCATTTAGTACAAGATGGAAGTAAGTTGTTTTCTTGCATATGGTGAGTTCCAGACTGTTCTCCAAAGTCTTTATAGATGTTGTAAGTATGATTTAGTAGTGATTCAGAGGAATTTAAAAAATTATTTAATACTTGTATAGATTGATTGACCTAGATAGTTAAGATGGAAGTAAATTTGTTTGTATTCAGTATATTGACATATTTTTATGAGAACTTGACTGATTCACAAAATGACCCAAATCAAAAACACATTTTTATTGTATAAAACCAACTTTAAAAAATATATATGTTTTATTGGTTTGTTACAGAGGAAGGGCAAGGGATAGAGAGTTAGAAACATTGATGAGAGAGAAACATCGATCAGCTGCCTCCTGCACACCCCCTACTGGGGATGTGCCTGCAGCTAAGGTACATGCCCTTGATCGGAATCAAACCTGGGACCTTTCAGTCCGCAGGCTGATGCTCTATCCACTGAGCCAAACTGGTTAGGGCTGAAACCAACTTTTTAAGCTCATGTTTTATTGAGATGGTACATTAGCAAACCATTGTCAGGATGCAAGAGACATTTAGTGAACATGTAGTTCCTGTTTTTCCAGAACCTACAATATCGTGGGTCCTTAATTTAACCTTTTGATACTTCTTATTTGATAGGTTATATGGAGCAGTTTTAATGCTCAATCCATGAGTGTTGTTCAGTACCCTGGTAGGCTAGCTGCAGGATACACAGTTGTACCTCCAGGAAGGAGCTTATACCCACAGTGCTCATGGAAGATAATGTGTGCCACATGGACTGCCAGGCTCTGGTATTGAGGGTACAACCCTCTGTTTACCAAGTGTGGCCCAGCAGGCTGGAAGTCTTTTTCATAGAGAGCAGAAGCCTAAGCTCTGGTGATCTGGCTGCATTGAAACCAGTTATTTAAATAGTGTAATTTCTTTAGTAGTCTTTTTGTGAATAAACACACACACACACACACACACACACAAATATATATTTGTATATATACTGGTTATTCTGGAAATTTTCAAATCTGTAAAAGTAGAGAGTATAATAAGCTTCCAAGGCTCCATCACCCAACTTTGATAATTACTAACTCGAGACCAATCTTGTTTTATCTATACCCAGTGTTATTTTGAAGCAACAATACAAGATTTAACCACAGAATTCATAAGTAGTGGAACAACAAATTGATGCGTGTGTGTGTCTCTCCCGCACACCCTTCCTCTCTAAAATCAATCAATCAATAATAATAATAATAATAAATAAATAAATAGTAAAGTATTAAAAAAGAAAAAAGAACTCATGCTAGGTAAGGTAATAGTAGGATAGGCTTTTTACTTTGCACAGCCATCAATTTCTATAAGCACTTACTTAAGGTAAAATTCTCATGTTTAGATGTGGAATTCTGCAAATTTTAAAATTTTATATATGAAAATTATTGTGTAGGCAAGTGATTTAATTTTTAAAAAATTAATTATTCTTGTTCCATGATGGATTTAAAATGGCTTTAGAGAGACACATATACTAACAGCCTAACATAATTTAAAAATTCAAATGGGATATAGGAGTCTATTAATCAGACTAGAGAATTAGTACAGTGGTCTGTGAGGATAGGGGTGGGTGGGATTACACCATCAAGAATCAGGCTTTAGATCTCACAATGTTGTGGAAGTTTTATTAGGTGAATTTAGTCTTGAGCTTAATGAAGGTTGGTATAGGGATGATGCATGGGGAGATGGAGAGCTAAATGATATTCAAAATACACAATTTTCCTATGTCTGACCAGATCTTTCCAGAATTCCTAAAATATGTAGAGCAGTTTTCAAACTGTATTTTAGCTGTAGATTTCATTTTCTTCAGAAGAACTCTTCTGCAGAAGCCCAGTATATAAAACAGGTTCAAGTACCATTGCTTTGATTAAAGCCTGGGGTTAGAATGCAAAAGATTTAAGGCAAATGATTGCTTGATTATGTATATTGTTTCCTTCTCAAAGGACAAAATATAGACGTGAGAATTTTCACAGTTTATTTTGGATATTGTCACTGGCTGACTTTCTTTAATTGTAGCCTGTGTTAATTAACCTCTGGTTTGTTCATTGGCAGAAAATACCACTGCTAGTATATTCCTTTTCGGAGTAGTCCACCCTGTGGGTAGTAATTAAGTAAGTTTGTTCCTCTAGCTTTTTCAGGTGTGTGATTTATTTTTTTGAGACTTTTATGGAAGAAAAGAATGACTGATTCTCTTTTAAATGGCTAGCCAACTCTGATTTTCCTGTAGGTCCTTGAATTTATATGGTGGATATAAATTATTTGTCCTTTAAATTTTTGAAAGTTCTGTTCAATATGCTGAGCTTAATAAAGAGTAAAAAAAATAACAACAAAAAACCCCCAGCTGTGCTGTCATTACTATATGAAGAACAAACATTCTTTAGGAAAATCATATATACAAACATTTTTAAAAGCATAAAAAAACTAATAGGTAAGCATTATCAGTATTAATGAAATAACTTGAGGAATAGAAAAAACTCACGTAAGAAAATGTGACATTGCTGTCCAGAGCTGTCTGGTAACTTCATGTTACAAAGTAGTAGATAGTCTACTTCGACCTTTCTAAGGCTTTTGTTTTCTGCCTTATTGAGGCACATTGTCGGGCCTTGTTATCCTCAGCATCGCTTTGAATGTATTATGAGTGATTTTTTTTAATATATATTTTATTGATTTTTTACAGAGAGGAAGGGAGAGGGATAGAAAGTTAGAAACATTGATGAGAGAGAAACATCGACCAGCTGCCTCCTGCACACCTCCTACTGGGGATGTGCCCGCAACCAAGGTACATGCCCTTGACCGGAATCGAACCTTTCAGTCCACAGGCCCACGCTCTATCCAATGAGCCAAACTGGTTAGGGCAGTACTTTTTATTTTTTGCTTTTCATACTACAAAACCTGTGTTCCGGGGAATGCTTATACGAAATCACAGTTTGGTTCAAAACAAGTTTGGTTATAACCAGGTTTCAGTGGTTTCCCAGATTATTATTAGCCATTATCATATTTCTTGTGTCTTAGTGATATTGTCTGAGTTTTTTTTATTAAAGGATTTACTGGTGTTGTTTTTTTTATGAGTTTTTTTAAAAAACTTTTTCATGTATTCTATATTTAAAATTGAAGTTGCTTAGAGCAAAACTAAGGTAACTCGCATTATTTTTTGTAGTACTAACTTAATCCTTGAGGCATTTTTTTTCTGGCCAAATCTTCTGGCATGGTTTGTTAATTTAAAAGAGAGTTTTAAATATATAACATATGCTTATGTTGACTTTATTTCCATAGCTGGAATGATACCCTGACCTGCCCAGGAATGCCCAGGTGGCCCTAACTATATGGGATGTGTATGGGCCAGGAAAGGCAGTGCCTGTGGGTGGGACAACGGTTTCGCTCTTTGGAAAATACGGGTAAGCATTCTCTTCTAATCTTTAGGGGTATTGTAGTTTCTCATCTTTTTTCTTTTTGGGAAGTTCATGCCAGTCTGGTTCTCTGTGTGTACATGTTTGGTACATGATTCCATAATTCCTGAGACTGAATTTCGTATAGGATATACAGACAGATGCATTAAGAAACACAATTTATATTACTCTACTGTTAGTGACTGGTAATGTGATTCCTATTAGAAAATAGTATTGGAAATTAGAATCTTTCTTTTAGGAAAAAAGACTATGTGCCATATACTGTGAGAGCTTTGTTTTTCTGCTTTGTCATAAGAGTGATAAAAAGGACAATGAGCAGGGTTAAAAAGCACTAATTTGCTAATAGTGGTAATGACTATAATAGAACAGTTGTTAATTCTGTTTTTAAAGATTTACAGATAATAGAAGTTTATTGTGCAAAAACACAACCCATATTTCTATCCCTTTTGTCGATATTCTATTACTCTTTCTGAGTATATTAATTGGAATTTTTCTTTGAAGAACTTGATCTTTTATCAAGTTTAAGAATGAGTTGATACCCTGGTAACCTGCAAAAGTAATTGATGATTTTTGGTTTTTGTCTTTAAGTTTTGTCAGGAACTTGTAGTCTTAAACATTTTTGAAATGTTTCCATTGCTATCTTAAAGCTTTATATTGTTCAGAAACTCCCATTTTTGGTCAATCGGAGTCCCTTCAAGTTGACCCATGTCCTTTGTAGTCATAAGTAGCTTCTGTGCTTTTTGGCAGATAAGCTATTCCAGGCTCCTTGGGCAATTTTCTGCCCCAAACTTGGTTTCTCTGAACACATCAGATGTTAGATACAAATGAAACATGTTAGTGAGCAGCTCTGATTCTGAGAAATTAGCTCTCTTAGAGCAGGGTTTCTCAAAAATGAGCCATTGACTTACCACTTCCAGAATTCCTGCATATATCTATATTAAATACATTCAGTCTTATTTACTTGGTATTTTTATTTAAACCAGCTCACTTTTTTTACTTACATTTAATTGAAAGCAAAATTTTAATATCTTGGTGTACATGGAAAATAAGTGTTATTTAACTTTGGTGGATAATGACAAAAATAAATACAATGAAAATAACTATGTTACTAAATATTACAACTTTAAGGAAAGAAAACCCCCTAAGAAACACAAATGATAGTAAATCGGTTTGCTTTGCAAATATGTATATGATACCTGACCAAAAAAATCCTTTAATTAGAATGGTCTGTGTCTAGTCAGATATAAGGGGATATTCAGCTCACTGTCACTTTAAGGTAAAGATAAGGTTTTACATCAACATTTCATTTTACACCTATATGGTAGTAGGGCATTTATTCAAATGATAACATTAGGTAGTAATAGAGCTCTATGGATACTCTGAGCAGTGGGGAAGAAATGTGAAAAACCTGTCCCATTCCCTCTAGGATGTCCCATTCCCTCTAGGATGATGCTTCGACTGACCTTCATCTCAGAAAAAGGAATTCAAAGAAAGCCTATTATGCAATTAAAATACCTCCTTTTTCTCTCTGTGTCCTGGGCCTTTCCTTGGGGGTGAAATTGGTTTCATAGGAGACAAGCTCAGGGAGTCCCTAGCATGGCCTTGCCCTTCCTGTGCAGCTTTGGATTGTGGAGGAATGTGACATTCAGCTTGAGGCTTCTGGGTGGCCTTGGCAAGAAGCCTGTGCAACTTTCTTCCGCCTGCCATTAAAAGTCATGCCATGTGCCTCCACATTCTCATGACTTAGGCAAGTGGTAGTTTCCTCAAATGTTTCATAAACAATGAAATAACACCACATGCTCCCCACCTTGTTCCCTAAGTAGTCCTGGTGTGGCCTTCATAGCTTTTAAAAGGGTTCCTCAAAATGCCTAATAGTTGCATTATAGTATTCAGAGTCTTGCGACTATCAGTATCTGTTTTGTATACTTGAGTCAGTGTGAAGCAGTACTTCTTGGAGAATAGTGTAATTAATAATTGGAAGACTAATCTGTTAGAATATGGCTAGAATAAACTGTCCTCATTCTGAATGTCTAGCTTTTAAGATTTCTAAGGAGGTGAAGAATGGATTGATTGTTAGATTGAATTGGCAAAGAACTACAGGCAAGCTGCAGATTTCTCTTGCAGATGTTTTTTCCAAATGTGAACTCGGAAGTCTGGGCAGTTGCTGCTGCAGTGGCTTGGCATGGGAGCTGGAGCAGCAGCAGCAGCTGTTGCTGGGGCCTCTGCAGGCATCTGACGGGGATCCTGCTGTGCTGTTCCTTTTGTCTTGCCTGCTTGGCTTAATTTCCCAAGTGGACAGGATGCTCTGAGCATCTTCTGGCTTGCCACCTGGAGGCTGTGTAACTCTCTACAAAGTTTCCATTAGTGTCAAAAGAAAGTAATACGTTCACTTGATCATTTGAGTCACTTGCTACCACCCCTGCCCTCCATGTCCCCTGTCCTTAAATCTTCTCTCCAGATCCACCCCAAGGCACCTAAATCATTTAGTAAACTGACTTCCTGCCAAACGTACTTATTTTTTATTTAAGTTCAGCCAGTCAAAGTATTCACTGGGGTATAGGGAGGTGGAGAAAAAGGAGGGAGACCATCCTTTCTTTCTGAAGGTACATTTAACGGTAATCATTTAAAGTGATGTTGCTGCCTCACTGTACCTAGCTTCTTAGAGCCTAAGCAGGTCTGCTTGATGTTGAATCTAATATTCAGTTGAAAGGGAATGAAAATGAACTTTATGAAAGGCTTGTATATGTGTGTTTTTTGGAATGTAAATTTTTTTGAAATCCCTAACATGGTAAATATTAAGATTTTTGGTTTTTTACTATAAGTCAGTGCATTTGTTTTGGGCCTATAAGGTAAACTTTCACAGATATGGTTGCTGGATATTACCTGTTTACTGCCAACCTTAGAGCTAAACCTTGCAACAGATATGGTCTTTAATCTTACTGTGCTCATGAGCTTGCAGCTATCCTTTATAGTTCCCAGTCTAAATGTTTATGGCATCATTACTTTGCATAATGTTCAGTGAAAAGCCTCTTTATTACTCCAGGAAAATCTGTGAAGAAAGTTTCCATTAGTCAAGCGTGATAATAATAGTTTTTAAAATGTATGTAAAACTTTTAAAGTGTAATGTTTTTAAAGATCAAGAAAATACATCAATATATATGCAACGTGTACCTTACTTTAAAAAATACTTAATGTGAGAACAAAAAGCGTTGGGCTTGCCTATTCACCTGCACACACTTACAGTCTTATTCTTTCCACCGCAATTGGCAGCTTGCTCTTTGAGCTTTGGGGCGATGCTATTTTAGGAGATATATTGTCTGAACAGTTTTGTTAAAAAAACAAACACACAAAAAAAACCATACACTTAAAAAAGAAAGAACATATTAACAGAAGACTTTCTTTATTTTTACCTCCCGCCCCCATAAAAAAAAAAAAAATAAAACCACTCAGTAGCATATCTATAAAAACACAGTTTTCCAAACTTACTTTATGCAGTGGTTCTCAACCTTCCTAATGCCGTGACCCTTTAATACAATTCCTCATGTTGTGGTGACCCCCAATTTCATCGTTACAAATTGAACATAATTAAAGCATAGTGATTAATCACAAAAACAACATGTAATTATATATGTGTTTTCCAATGGTCTTAGGTGACCTTTGTGAAAGAGTCATTCGACCCCTGAAGGGGTCATGACCCACAGGTTGAGAACCGCTGCTTTATGGGTTTGTTCAACCTGTATTCTACATCTTAGTAGTTTTTTGAAGGAAACAGGACAATCAAAAGTTATAAAGTGTTCACTTGAAAGCAGATGATCAAACTTAGATTGAAGTTCTGATTATATATTTTGTAGACATGGGAACTTTTTCTAGTATAAATCCACTGTTGTATTTCCCATTAGGCATTGCTCTTACAGAAAAGAAGACAGGAGAATCAACCTATACCTAGTGAAAAAGATAACATTAGTTAACAATATTGAATACTTATTATGTGGCAGGTACTATTGAAGTACTTTTTACTTGTGCTGATGTTTTAATTTTTCTAATAGCCCTGTGAGATTCAGGTACTCTTTATAATCCCACTTTATAGATTAGGAAACTGAGGCACAGAGAAGCTAAGCAATTTACCCAAGGTCACTTAGGTAATAGATGGCACAAGTGGGATTCAAACCCCAGCAGTTTGACTGTGCAGCCTACTATGCTGACTTTTCATGTAAAGTAGACAGTTATGTATTTATTTAAATTTTGTTTCAGTCATTGTAAATGTGACATTCCTTCATTGGGTCGCAATTTGGTTTCCATTATTTCAAGATCTCCACTGAAGTTATGAAGGGTGTATGGCCCATTAGGATCCTTCTATTTGTCCAGTCTACCTCTAGGATCTCTGTAAAAGTCTGACTGCTTGGAGGAGAAAAGAATGGCATGTGAAAAGCAGTGTGACATGGGTTTTAGCTGCTTAGTTAATTGCATTGCAACTCACTGGAGGCTTAAAGGCTGCCAAGAGAGACATGCATTTCCTAGTGTGGAATTCTCTCTCTTTAGGGGTTAAAAATTTCCTGTAATGAACTGCATTAATTTACTTCTACCCCGAACATTCTCTTTTTGCCTAGCATGTTTCGTCAAGGGATGCATGACTTGAAAGTCTGGCCTAATGTAGAAGCAGATGGGTCAGAACCCACAAAAACTCCTGGCCGAACAAGCAGTACACTCTCAGAAGATCAGATGAGCCGCCTTGCCAAGGTAAAAATATAAACTTTTCCAATTGGTGGGGAGCTCTGAATGATGTCTATTGTAGTATAAGTTAACCTTTTGAATTCTGTCAGATTATTTTTTTTAAATTTAGATTTAATTTTTTAATAGTAGCTTTAATGAAATATAATCCATACTAGAGGCCTGGTGCACAAAAATTTGTGCACTCGGGTGGGGGAGTCCCTCAGCCCTGCCTGTGCCCTCTTGCAGTCTGGGACCCTTCAGGGGATGTCCACCTGTTGGCTTAGGCCTGCTCCCCAAGGGATCGGGCCTAAGCTGGCAGTCAGACATCCCTTTGGCAGCCCAGAAGCCCTCAGGGGATGTCCACTTGCCAGCAGGGAGCAGGCCTAAACTGCAGTCGGACATCCTTACTGCTGCTGAGGAGGCGGGAGAGGCTCCCGCCACCACTGCTGTGCTGGCAGCCACCAGCCTGGCTTGTGGCTGAGCAGAGCTTCCCCCGGTGGGAGCGCACTGACCACCAGGGGGCAGCTCCTGCATTGAGCATCTGCCCCCTAGTGGTCAGTGTGTGTCATGGTGACCAGTCATTCCCAGTCGTTCTGCTGTTAGGGTCAATTTGCATATTACCCTTTTATTATATAGGATATCATAAAATTCACTCTTGGAAAGTATACAGTAACTTAAGTTTTAGTAAATTCTGAGGTGTGTAATCATCACCACTATTTAATATCAGAACATTTTCATCAAAAATGTAACCATGTACCCAATAGCAATCATTCCCCATCCCCTCCTCCCTCCAGCCCCTGGAACTTCTAGTCTTTCTGTTTTTGTGAATTTTCCTATTCTGGACATTTCATACAAATGGAATCATACATTATGTGGCCTTTTGTGTCTGTAATCCCATCAGATTAGAGAATGGGCACTTTTTGGTGATATTTTCAAGATGAACTTTTTTTGGGTGAAATAGTCTTAAAGATGCCAAGTGTTACATGCTAGAGAGCCTTACGTTGTTTGGAATTGAAGATTACTTAGTCTAAATTGTCCTCACTCCACTCCCACTCCTGTTTTTGTAAGGAGACTGAGTTTTGTAAGAAGACTTTATCTTTCAAATTTGTTTTAATGAAGTGTTTTTATTTAGAAATACAAAAGCTAAGCTCAAATCTGAGCTTAAGTCAGAACAAAATAACTTATTTTGTCAGTATCTGTTCCCAAAGCACTATGCTAAATACTATTTGAAGATACTTTTTGGTACAATACACTTTTAAAAACTGGGAAAGCAGATGTATGCTTATGATTCTATTTTTATACAAAAGGAACAGAAATTGTAGATGTAATACGTAATATTTTATACACTCTCACTTTAAGACAAGAAATGAGTATACAAATAGATGAGGTTTATGGGGATAGAATGGAAGGTTTGTTTCCTGTTGCACTTTTGATTTTCCAGCCAGTGAATTTACTATGCCTGTTTCTAATTGTTGAGAAGGCATTTGGTATAAGAGTAACAAGGTGTACATAAATCTTAATAATACGACAGCATAGTTATCGTGCATTGTACCCACGAGCCAAAATAAATAGCATGGTGACAGTTTTCAAACTGTAATGTTAGAAAGTTTATTCAGTTATAGTACTGCCTAAGTCTTGACTGCCTGGGGATAATGGCACAAGAGGACTGTGAAATGAAGATGAACTATTTAAATGGCCTGTGAAAAGATGGTGTTAGATGATTATTAAACAAAGAACCTCAAACCCAAGCTGGATTAAATATTCTTATGCTGATTTATTGCTCAGCTATGGAAATAGAATTATAACCACAATATGAATAACTGAAGTTTAAAAGCCTTACTTCTAGGTTTAACAATTTAAAAATCAAATCCTTTCAGAAGAAGAATTTTAATGGAATTAACTTTTCTAATGATTGTACATCATTTTGTGAACATGTGTAGTTTTCCTTTGAGGAAAAATGAGTGTGAGAAAAGGAGACAAAACTGAATAATCTTTGGTTTAGTTAGTTTATATAACTGGATTTCTTAGACTTACTGGGAACAGGAAGAAATTAACATAGTACAATCGCCTCCCCCCAGCCACCACATTTCCCTCATTATTTTCTCTTTCCCATCTCTAAATTGCCCTAATAATTTTTATTAATATTAATATTTCTGTTTTTTGGTGTGTTTTTTTTGGTGGGGGCGAATAAATAAATCAATATTTCTGTTTTAATTGATTTGTGAAAATAAAGGCCAGACTTCTGGGACATTCATTACACTTTCATTGTCCATGACCCAGCCTTTTAATGGTTGTGGCCTTGAGCAAATCTGCCCATTGTTCCCATCTGCTCTGTTTTTCAGCTTGTCATATTTTAAGAGTTTTATCACTAGGATGCATATCCACCTGGGGTTTTGGATGTGACTACCAAGCTTTAGTGTTTGATTTATACTTGAATCTATGTCTTTAGACATGAAAGGTTAGTGCAAAAGCATGCTTCTCTACTGTCTCCTTTTCATTTTAGCATCTCTGCTTGATGCCTTTGGAATGTGCTTTAGTTTCTGTCAATTTGATTAAGAGGCCGCAAAGAGAAAGTAACAACTAGATGAAAAATGTTTTGTGGTCTGAGTGATACAGATAGGTGGGGGAATGTTGAGCAGTGTGTAAGTGAGCATTGGTACAGTGAAGTAGTGTAAGATGTGATGTTTTAGACTGGCTTCAAATTGCCTGCATGGGGTCACTCTGGTTCAGGCTCCAGACCTCATTTTATAGCAGTGGGAGCTGGATTTTTCTAGCACATCCAGAAATAACTAGTTATATTGAGAAAGGTTCATGTCAATCCATTCAAATGGTTATTTACAGTTTAGAGCTGTAATAGTCACAATTCACATGTGGCAATTTAAGTTTAAGTTCATTAAAATTAAATAAAATTCAGAATTTTATGTTACCATAGTTACATTGTCATAATCACACTTTAAGTGCTCACTAGCCACATGTGGCTAGAAGCTATGCATTGGACAATGAAGAAATGGAATCTTTTCATTATTGCCGAAAGTGCGATTGGATAGCACTGGCCTAGAGTGCCATTTTACTAATTTGTAATGGTTGAGTAACCATATTATTGTCTTCCTGGTAATCAGGTTATTTGTGTCTACTACACAGGACACCAGTTTTCAATTCCTTAGAAATTAAGTTAGTCTTCAGGAGATTGCTGATTCTTAGTGAACCATCAGGCATGAGCTACCCTGAAGGAACCAGAAAGTTGTGTGAGATATTTCTCTCATTTTGAAGGAAGTGTTAAAAGGGCTTTCTCTCTTGACATTATCTTTCTAGTTGCAGGATTACTTGAACCTGCTGCCTGCACAATATGGTAGGAACTTCAGGGTACAGAATGTGAGAACCCTTTACTAAGGATAAAAGTCAAGTAGAACAGATGCTGCCCTAGCAGTTGCTTAGAGTATTGTCCCCATATGCCAAGGTTGTGGGTTTGATCTCTGGTCAGGGCACATATAAGAACCAACCAATAAATGCATAAGGAAGTGCAACAACAAAGCTCTCTCTTCCTTTCTCTCTCTCCCTTTCCCTCTCTCTCTCTTTTTCCCTCTCCCTCTCCTTCTCCCTCTCCCCCTCCCTCCCTCTCTTTCTCCCTCTCTCCCTTCTCTTTCTCAAATCGATTTTTTTTTAACTCAGAAGAACAGATGCTGATACATTTATAGAAACATTTTAGGAGCCACACAGAGAAAACAGTTGCTAGTTTCTTTGTGTGAACAGCTAGAAAGTTAGTGTTGGTAAAGAAGTCTCTTTTATTCAGTTCATTTAGATGAATCTAGAAAAGGGAAAAGATTAATTGGAAAATAAGGTTGGCAAATGTTTTGGCTTTTAGAAATATGATTTAAGAAATGAGTTTTGTTATAAGCTGGACATCATTTTTGTTACAAACACTTGAATAGATTATCAAATTGATGATTTATGTGGATTTTAAATTCTGTATGTATTCCATAGTTAGATTTTAGAGAAATGGGGAACATGGGATTATCCAAGGAGATGTTTTGAAAAATAGAGGCATTACCTTTCTTTTTATGCTTTTAAAATTAATAGAACTATCAAAACTGGTGGAAAATTTAAATAGTTATGTTACATTCTAACTGGGTAGAAAGATTGGTAGTCAAAAGACCTGATTTATAGCTCTGACGCTGGCTCATTGAATAACCAGTTATTTCTGTACTTGTGAATATTTTTCATTGAAGAAGTGTGGTTAGTTGGGCTCCATTCTCCCTGTTTATAAGAATCATAATTATACCATTAACATTTTTTAGCTATTCTGAAAAAGAAACAACCTCAGAGCAGTTTGTTCATAGTATAGCACGTTAAGTGTACTCTTCTTGGGTTCTGAATACATTTCTACCTTGAAGCAGCTATGTGAGAAAACATTCATGTAAAAGTAGTTTAATAGAACACATTATTTAGTAGGACCTATTAAAAATCTTTTTTTTCTCCTTTTAATGACATAGTTTACTATTTTCAGAATATAATACTGAGTCCCTAGAGATAGTTTTGAGTTTGTGTTAGGGCTTTTCTAGGGAAGTTATTATTCTTTGTAATATCTGTACTTGATTAGGTCTCCTCACCTAAGAGTCAGTTTTTCCATAGTGATAATGATTTAACTTGATAATCTTTATTTTTCTAACTTCCAACCAGTTCACTTATGAACTGATATTAGTTATGGTATAAACAATATATGTAATGCAGTATTGGACTAAATTGTACAGAAAAGTCTCATTGTGTTTTATTTTCTTTCTCAATGTTTGTAAATGAAAATAATAACAGATTATGATGACAGATGCTGAAATTATTCAAACTATGAAACTTGCTTAGTGGCAACATTGACATCAAAATTTCCTCTTAGCTACAGGTTTTTTTTACTAAATAATATGTGTAACTTTTATGAGCATAGCTTATTTGGTTGTATGTTGCCATTTTTTCTGTCATAAAAGAAGGATTTGGGAATCTCTTAGAAATGTATTCCTGATGATACATAGTAGAATCTTTTCTATCAGTCATTTTGGTTTGCTTACTGTTGTCTGAGACTGTCTAAACTTCTCGATTTTTCTTGAAATTAATGGTAGCAAGTAGACAATTAGTTTGAGCGGGAAAGATTGAACCCTGAAATAATATTGATTTATGTCTGTCTTTACAGCTATAATTCCTGCCAGAAAAAAATAGAAGGTAACATGGTTTTAAGACTAGATTAATCTCTGAGAAGTTTAGCTGAATGCAACTTTTATGAGGCAAAGACTCCTCTTCCTGAGTAAGATTTCTATGTAAAGTTTCAAAGTAAAATTGAAGATTTGTGGCTAAGACTTTATTAATCAGGAAGCTGAAAGCACTTCTACGCTACCTAAGAATTAAATACACAGGCATGTGTGCAAATTCTTTAGGAGACACGTACAACTCCTTTTTTACTTTTAGTAATTGTTCAAGTGAATTCTTATATACAGCTGCATTTTGTCTTGAATTATTAATTACTGCATTGCTTGCATTTTATTTGATACAGATAAAACTCAGTGTCTTAATGTTTATTGAGGAGAATTATACTTTTTAAGAATAGAAATTTATGAGTGAACCATATTGCATTGTGCAAATAGACTAGCTGAGGGATAATGGTGTTCTGTTCAATGACTATTTATTAATTCAGCTCAGTTCTAGTCTAGGCTCAAGGAAATGTTAGAGTTGAAAGAGTTATATTATAGCCTTTAACTGAAAGGAATTTAGAAGAACAAGATAGGAGGTAGTTCAAGAAACTGTCCTGTATGATTATGTGAGGGGGTTGGTGGGAGATAGTCTTACCTAATGGCAGTATCAGGCATTTTTATTGCGCAATATTCCTATAAATGCTTCAAGAGAGAATTTTGAACATTTGCATAGGCTCTCTGAATCTAAAAGTTTTCTGTCTGGTGAGCAGAATGGATTTTTTTCTGCTTATTTGTATGTTGGTTTTTTTTAAGTGGCACAGAAAAAAGAAGTAAAAAATATATAGCTTTGTCATTATTTTCCCCCTTAGGTTATCTAAGGAAGCCTATGTGTATCTGCAACAATATCCCGTACTATATTGCTGCTTTTTGAGGAGATATCCGTTTACTGTGTAACTTTCCTGTTACAGTTTCTTGACAAGAGCAAGCTTGATGCCTAAAGCCTATAAATTTCTATATTATAGCAGTTTTTATTAACCACATGTTGAAAAACGGTAGCATTGCTTAATTTATATGGTTCTTCAGTTGGATCTAGATCAGCGGTACCCTTTAATACATTTCCTCATGTTGTTGTGACCCCCAATTTCATTGTTATAAATTGAACATAATTAAAGCATAGTCATTAATCACAAAAACAATATGTAATTGTAGATGTTTTCCGATGGTCTTAGGCGACCCCTGTGAAAGGGTCGTTCGACCCCAAAAGGAGTCTCATTAGGAAGGTTGAGAACCACTGATCTAGATGAAAGACCCTTGTAAGAAATAATTTGAGAGAACAATTATGTTAGTACCTGGCTTTCATTTCAGGTGGTGAAGTAATGTTAATCAAATGGGTTTTTATCCTTTGGGTTTTAAAATATGATGTAAAATAACTTTATTTGGCATATCTTAATAAATGCTAATTTTTGGTGGTTTTCTCAACAGCAATCTTTGCACAATTAATTGTTTTTTAAAATAGCTTTAGTTTTTAAATAACATTTTTTCTTATTACAAAGATAATACACATTTTCTACTATGGTAGAAGATGGTTAAAGCACAGACACAATAAAAATCACCTCTGTCTCTCTGCCCAGAAATAACCGTCATTAATATGTTGCTTGATATATGCTTTCAATAAATTAATATGTGTGTCATTTGTGAATTTATTTATAGACTAGTGGCCCAGTGCACTTATTCGTGCACATTAATTAGAAGGAAATTAATGAGAAGAAATATTTGTGCAGTAATTATGTTACTGCAAAAAATTACATGTCAAAATAGTCAATATACTATATATAATATAGTTTTATAAAATTAAAATAGGTGTGCGATTGGCACCAGCAAGAGCTTTACATGTATCATGCATGCGTGAGTCAACATTTATTTTTAAATTGCCAGTGTGCGTCATATGTGTTTGAGGGACAGAAGGATGGACGGTCGGTCGCTTAGCCTTTTATGTATATAGATGATATTTTTAAACTGTGATATTGTGTGTGTGTGTGTTTAATTCAATACTGCTCTAACACTTAATGGCGTCTCAAAATTGTTTCAGGTCATTTAAGATACAGCAGATCCTCCAATGATGTCATTTCCTTATAATGTTGATTAGATGCCATAGGACGGAACTCTGAGTATCTTTGTTCCATAGAATGGTTTCTGCTCCTTTGCCAAAGATCATTTAACTATAGTTATGTGGATATATTTCCAGGGTTTTTATTCCATTAGTATATTTGTCTGTTCTTTTTTTTTTAAATATATTTTATTGATTTTTTACAGAGAGGAAGGGAGAGAGAGAGAGAGAGAGAGTCAGAAACATCGATGATAGAGAAACATCGACCAGCTGCCTCCTGCACATCTCTCACTGGGGATGTGCCCGCAACCCAGGTACATGCCCTTGACCGGAATCGAACCCGGGACCCTTCAGTCCGCAGGCCGACGCTCTATCCACTGAGCCAAACCGGTTTCGGCTATTTGTCTGTTCTTTTGCCAATGCCAGACTCTCTTGATTATTGCAGCTTTATAATAATTCTTGATATTGGGTAGTGTCAGCCCTCAAATTTTGTTATTTTCCTTCAATATTATGTTGACTGTTCTGGATCGTTTCCTCTCCACATAAATTTTAGCATCCTTTTGTTATTTGCGAAATAGCTTGCTGGGATTTTCACTAGGGTTACATTAAATTTATAGATCCAATTTAATCAAACTGGAAATCTTTACATAATTTTGAGTCTTCCTGTCCATGAACAGGAATATCTCTCCATTTGTTTAGTGTTGTTGTTTTTTTTTTTAAATTCCATTTATCAGAGTTTTGTGGCTTTCCTCATATAGATCTTTTACATATTTTGTTATCATTTTTCTGGTGTTAATATAAATGATGCTTTAAAAAATATAACAGCTTTATTGAGATAACATTTACATACCTCTGTGTTTTTATTTTCAACTGGAGGCCCAGTTCATGAATTCGTGCACAGGTGGGGTCCCTTGGTCTGGCCGACAATTGGGGCTGATGCGGAGGCTGGCCGGCTCGGGGGAGGTACCGTGGGAGGCTGGCCCCAGCAGCAAGCTAACCAACGGCCTATCTGTGAGGAATCGGGCTCGCTCCTCCTTCCTGTCTGGGTCTGGGGTACAGGTGAACCAGATTTGGGGCTGTCAGGGCCCCAGCAGGAAAGTCTGAGTCAGTGCGCGTCATAGCTACCAGCCGGTCCTCCGGTCATTCTGGCTGTTTGGTCGTAAGGATCCCTTAGGCTTTTATATATATAAATTTCATGTGCTTATTGCTGGTACATAAGAAATTAATTGAGTTTTGTATATTAACCTTATATTCTGCAACCTAGCTATAATTGCTATTAGTTATAGGGGTGGGGTTTTTCTTTTGTACATTCTTTCATATTTTCTACATAGATGGTCATGTCATCTGTGCACTTAGACAATTTTCTTTCTTCTCAATCTCTCTTATTACATTAGCCAGTATTTCCAGTATGATTCTGAAAGGGTGTGATGGGCATCGCTGTCCGCTCCCTGCCTTTCTTTCTGTGAGGTCTGGGTTAAAATTTTCTTCATTATATTTGTTCTGCAGCTCACCAAAGCCCATCGGCAAGGACACATGGTGAAAGTAGATTGGCTGGACAGATTGACATTTAGAGAAATTGAAATGATAAATGAGGTGGGTTGTATCCCTTTTTATTTCAAAAATATTTTCTCTCAGCTATGTAAATCAAGAATTTTTTTGACAAGATTTATTGCCAGGTATCTATTGGGGCTATCGAATAATGTGTAGTTTAGGGAGTTCTATGCTAATAAGTGAAAACATGTGATATATGCCTTTCTTATATCTCAGTGTTATAAGTAGGTAGTGGATATAGCAAGTGTATTAAATAAGTGAAGCCTCTGTGAGTTTGATCCTTCATTTGTGTGTTCTATCTCCATTTGGCAGCTCATTATGTTCAAGTTCAAGTCAATATTACATAAATTTATCAACAGTGGTACCTCTTCATTTCAGTTACCTTAAATCATCATTAGCAAGTTCTCTCCCCACTAAGATACTTCTTGTTTTACATACTGCATATAGGACTCTGCACCCTTAATGAAGTTGTGTGGTTCAAGTAGTTGATTTATTTCTTGATTTTATGTATTGGTATAGAATGTATTTATTTAAAAGATGACGTCAATGAAACTTCCTGAAAGTTAGAACACATATTTTTCTTTTTTGTGTATTTACACTGAAATACTAGATGTCTGGTCTAACATTCAGTATCAAGATAGCAGAAAAAAACAGTTATATTAATTACATTAGGAAAGAGTAGTATCAATTTTGTGATATGCCTAGCTTATAGAGACCTCTACAGATCACTGTTCTTTAAAAAGTGTTCAGGAGGTGGAGAGAGAGAAATTTTTCATTTTTATAATGAACACTTGTAAAAGTTATATCTTGACATTACCTTTTAAAATAATTAGTGGTGTTTAACCATTTATATGCAGTATGAATGTGAGTAGAATATGCTTTCTAAAGCTGAAAATTTAAGTGACCTCCTTAGACTTTTACATGATTTTATACATGTAGATTTAAAACTATTTAAAAAACTTTTTTGGGTCAAGACTAACCACCTTTTAGACTTAATTTGATTTTCACTTCTTTAACAACATAGTATTTGCTTTTTTAAGGGGACAAGTTTATACACAGAATCAACATTTCTTATGTTAAGGTGGAAGTAACATAATATGAAGGATCAAACTCACAGTATATTTTCCAGTATACTTTAAAAAATTTGATAAAAATTTACAAATGCCTTCACGTCGTCTCAAGATCACTTATAAATTTTGAAAAACATATAAAGTTTATATTTGTTAGGTCAAATGACCTCAGTCCTTAGTTTTCACACTTTAACTTTTGATATTTGTCATAATTGTATTAATTGATATAGTTAGATTTGTCATATGGTTTAAGGATGAATTGTTCTTTGCTTACAATTGTTAGAAGTACAAATCATCCTTATTTTTGAAAGTAAATAGTTCTAATGCAGTGTATACATAATATCATCAAGATTTTATTTAATAAAATCTAAACTACTGAATAAACCAACGATGTCATTAAGTTTAGGAGAGAGTTGTAAGTTACTAGTAGACAGTACTGGATAAAAGAGTGGTGCTGTATATAAGATAGAAGTGCTGTATGAAACATTGCATTTATAATAACGAAATAAAAATTTGTCACATTCTAAGTTGTACCTGATAGATCCGTGTATTACTGAATTGGGAATAACGATACATACTGATTCTTTAGGAGAATGTTGAAAATGGTTATTTTTCATAAAAATCTTTTTTTTTTTAGAGTGAAAAACGAAGTTCTAATTTCATGTATTTGATGGTTGAGTTTCGATGTGTCAAGTGCGACGATAAAGAATATGGCATTGTTTATTATGAAAAGGTATTTGCCTTGGAACTGTTATGGTCTCTAAAGTAGAGGGGAGGTGCTGAGATGAATTATTTGGTTGCAGGATAGCAGAAGACAGCTGTCAGGCGCAGCTGTTCATGTATGCACAAATCATCCTGTAGCTCCAAGATTACAAAAGCCGATCATTCATAGAATGCAGTTCTGGGTTACAGAATTCAATAAATATGCAAGAGATCAAAAACTTTTTGATTAATTATTCTGAAAAGTGGCAAGTAAGATATTAAAGCAATAGCTTTATTAACAATTAAAATTCATTTGAAAAGTAAAAAGGGGGATCAGGCTTTTTCTTTTTAAGTAGTATGCTATTGAACATTAAGGATTGCTTGTTACTTGAGTATTTATATATAATGTAATGGAATTTCATAAGTGTTCCAAACATAAGTATGCTTCTGAAAGACTTCACAAATCTACATTTATTTATATGTAAAATATATGCAGAATTAAGAAAATAATGTTATCAGTAGGCTGAGTGATAACATGCAATTCTGGATTTCCTCAGTTCTGCTTATTACATGAAAGAAAGTAGTGTGTGATTTGACATGTAGCCTTTAGAAAACACCTGTGTCTTAAATGCTTGTTGAAGGGTCTTTATTTAAGTACCACAAAAGTAACTGTATGCATAGTTCAAAAAACATAAACCAGATATCTGCAATCATCGTAGAAATAGTAAGACAAGTGCTTACATCAGTACAAATGAGGACAGCCTTTTAATACATGACATAATAGAAAAATATTTTCTCTAGTATATAGCTAAGCTTATCCCATATAATAAAAGCCTAATATCTTAAGTGTCTGGTCATCCAGTCTTCCATTCAACCAATCAAAGCGTAATATGTTAATGATAGGCTAAGCCCACTCAACCGCTTGCTATGATGTGCACTGACCACCAGGGGTCAGACACTCTGACTGGTAGGTTAGCTTGCTGCTGGGGTCTGGCCAATTAGGACTGAGCGAGATGGGCCAGACACGCCCTGGAGCCCTCCTACAGTCCCTCCCCAGCTGGACAACCTCCCATGTCCCTCCCTTGCCCTGATCATGCACTAGTGGAGTCCCTCGGCTTGGCCTGTGCCCTCTCGCAATCCGGGACCACTTGGGGGATGTCGGAGAGCTCGTTTCAGCCTGATCCCGCAGGCCAGGCCGAGGGACCCCACTGGTGTAAGAACTTGTGCACCAGCCCTCTAGTATGCAGTATATATGTTTATTAGAAGCAGCACTTTTAAATCACATTTTAACTTTAGTGTTTTCAAGCTGTCACAAGTGATTTAAAAAATATGTATTTATAACTATAATTTATTATTTGAAGGATGTATTTATAATGGAGGTATAGGGTTTATTTGGTTAATTTATGATCACTTTTCTGGTATTTTTCAAGTTAATATTTATATTTTTCCCCTTAAGCTTATATCCTTTCTTTCTAGTAAAAGATTAGGAAACATTAACTTGTTTTAGCTTTTTATTTTATAAATGATATTTCTTGGGAGGGGAAAGGAGATAGAAAGATAGACTAACATTGTTTATTAACTTATTAGAAAAACGACCTTATAAAAAGAAAGGGGAATGCAGGTGGATGAAATTTTGTCACCAATACATTTTAATAAAATTACATTTTATACTTTATGCCATATGTAATTTCGTTAAAAGCATTATTCCCTGCCCATATGGAGTTTATATTGCAAAAGCATACTGATGGAGGTGGTAATTTAAAACATTGGCGATGTGAAGGATCTTTTGAAAGACTGTTTTGATAATAGATGAAATAATAACAGAACAGAAATTAGAAGAATTTCAAGTATTTTTGAAAAGGTTCTTGACCCCTTTCTACTGCTTCTTGAAAAATTGTCCATAAATTAATGCCTGTGTACCCATCCTGTCATATTTCCACTTAGTGTAAAGATTGCTGGGCCAGTGTATTGAATCTAATGGAAATAGACTTTCTTGTCACCTGTCTTTTGTGACAGATAGCCTTAGTGAAGATTACTTGTCACAGTTGGGCTGATAAATGTGTTTCCTGGTATTGTGACTAAGAATCAGCCTGTTAAACAATGGCTGTGGGAATTCGTGGTTTTCTAAGACTCAATTACTGAACTAGAGTAAAGTCACAGTACTTCCCCTCCTTCAGTCTCCTGATTTTGTTGTACATATCTAAAATTGAAATTATAGGAGCATTTGGAAATTGACAGGAAAATTTGATGTTGGGTTTACAATTGTCAGAAAATGAATTTTGACTTTAATTAGTTTAGTCTTTTCCAGTTCTTATGCAGTGACATTTTATTATCCTAAATTACCTTTCTTGCCCGAGTTGGATCAAAATTTTTCAAAAAATGATAATACCAACAAAATAAGACAGCTTTATTTCTTAAGAATTGATGGACTGGTTCTCATTATTCAGGTTTGCATTGTGTTGAGTAGCTATCCCTCTGAGAAGCCGTGCTGCTGAGTCTCTAGCTGTGTATAAATCTGAGTAACATTAACTCCACGCTTGTAATTCTACTTCTGAGTGAAACTCAATTGTGGTTATTTGAAGTTGCCAACATCTAGTTAGTAGTTTTTGCAAGTGATGAAACTTATCCATTGTATTGTATTTTAATTAGCTCTGTGATTTCTTATTCTAAGTTTGACAATTTGGACATATTATTTTTCACCTCTTGTCATTATAAACAGTTTTAGAAAAAAAGACAAAAACCATCTGCTGATTTCCAGACTTCATATCTCTAAAAAAACCTATATTACAAATTTGTATTGTTATATTTTATTTTTCTTGAAATATTTTATCAGCAACAAAAGGTAAAAATATAATATATTTTAAAATGTAGTTGGAAAAAAATAAAATGTAGTTGAAAGGAGATTAATTTTTGAAAGGAAGGATGTTCATTAAATAGAATTAAAGTACATTGGAGTGTACATTAACATGTATTGTTTTTTACCATTTGGTTAAATTTTATTTACCTTCTTATTTTGGAAATTTATTACATTGTAATCCAGGATGGTGATGAGTCATCTCCAATTTTAACAAGCTTTGAGATAGTGAAAGTTCCTGACCCTCAGATGTCTATGGTGAGTTATTATCCAATTTCTTATGAAAATGCTCCAATCCAGAGTGATTGTGACTTAGATCGACATCATACACTTTCTTTTTAAAAAGTATATAAGTACCTCAGTTACCTAAAAGTGATTTATAAATCCACTTCAGCTATGTGGAATCAAGTTCAGATGGGATTTTTATCAGAAATTTTAACACATAAAAATAAGGTCAGGATAGTGAGTGTTGGGGAGCCATGTTATTTAGAGCCATGAAGAGCCAGGCATGTGGTCATGCAGTGAGGACTTGGGGGAACAGGCACAGGCACACCTTGGAGGTACTGCACATTTGGGTCCAGGTTACCACAGTTAACTATTTGTGTGCCGTAAGAGTCTATAGACACAAGTGGTGGACCTTTTTATTTATTCATTTTTAAATATACTTTTATTGATCTCAGAGAGGAAGGAAGAGGGAGAAACATCAATAATGAGAGAGAATCATTGATTGGCTGCCTCCTGCACGCCCCCCACTGGGGACCTTCAGTCTGCAGGTCGACGCTCTATTCACCTGTCCTAGCCAAACTGGCTAGGTGGACCTTTTTTAATTAAATTCAAAATATCGTGGCAATTAACTGGTTAAGCGGATATCCCAATGAAGTAAGTCACAGGAGATTTTTGGTTCCCCGATCTCTGCTAGCTTTAAACATTTCTTCTGCAGCTTTCTCACTTCTTCAAGCCTTCATAGAATTGAATAGAGTTAGGGGGGGTCTTGCTTTGGATTAGACTTTGGTTTAAGGGAATGTTGTGGCTGGTTTGATCTGTCCAGACCACTAAAACTCTTTATACCAGCAATAAAGCTGTTTTCACTTTCTTGCCATTTGTGTGTTCACTGTTGACCCTTTTAATATTTTTTAAGAACTTTTTATTTGAATTCACAACTTAGCTAATTGGTGCAAGATGCTTAGGTTTTGGTCCGTTTTATCTTCCGGCATGCCTTCCTCATTAAGTGTAAGCATTTCTAGCTTTTGATTTAAAGTGAGAGAAGCCATTGTAGGGTTACTAATTGACCTGATTTCAATATTTTGTGTCGGAATAGGGAGACCTGAGGAAAGAGAGAGAGATAGGGAACAGCTGGTCCGTGGAGCAGTCAGAACACATACAACATTTATCAATTAAGTTTGCTGTCTTATATAGGTGAGTTTTTAGCATCCCAAAACAATTTCAATAGTAGCATCAGAAATCACTGATCACAAATATAATAAAAATGAGAAAATGTGAAATATTGCAAGAATTACCAAATATAATACAGAGATACAAAGTGGGCAAATGCCATTGGAAAATGGTGCCTATGGACTTGTTTGATTCAGGGTTGCTACAAACCTGCAATTTGTAAAGAAAAAAACAACACATACACACACAAAAAACAACAACAACAACAACGCTGCAATATCTGTGAAGTTCAATAAAGTGAAGCGTAATAGAACAAGGCATGCCTGTATTTGAAATAATTCCCCGTCATCTAGAAGGGGAATTGGTTTATACCAGGATGTAAAAGCATCAATGATGGAAATTTTTAGGGAATCTGGGTTGGTTGCAAAATATGGAGGATCATTGTAACTATTAGAACTATTCAATTTGAATCATGATGTCTTGGATGATTTTGAGACACCTCCTTATTGCATTTTTAAATCTCTCTTTCATGGATACAAAGAGTAAATTCCTCTTTTGCAGCAGAACTTTAATTAGAAGACCTTATATTTAGAAAGTTCCAGCCAAAAAAATCCTTTTAACAGCATAATAGATATCATGATAGTTATACTTAAAATGCATCTACTTCACTTTGAACCAGTTTATTCTTATTTTATGAGTTTCTAATTAGATTAGTTACCTTCCTAGTCAGACTAAAGTAGATTAAAGATAGCACATTGGAAAATGAAAACATGAGCTAAATATAGGTCATTGAATCAGGAAGTAGTAGCTGATGACCTAACATCAGAGGAAGAGATAGGGTAAAAAGAATATAAAAGATTAGAAAGGAAAGGTCACTTGGGAATCTTTTAGAAACAGACACCCTAAATACCTTCACAGAGCCTATGCGTAGCATAATAAAATTGAGTCAATATATCTAAATTTGACCCTGAGCTTTCATTATAAAATCAAATTATATTTCACATTCTGAATATTTGAAGCACACAAATAAATGTACTCTGTGGGTACCTTCAAAATGGCCAAGAGTAAACAAGTTTTGTCATACTGGGATCATAGGTATTACTTTTGTGTAACTCCTACCAAAATGTCAGGTAAATGAGATGTCTGTATATTTAGAGCATTCTTTTCTAAAGAAAATGCTCATCAGCAGTTAAAGCTTTAACATTATGGATGATGTATTTTTTTAAAAAAGGAACTAGGGCCCCTGTTAAAAAATGTTAGTTTTAAATGAAGCAAACACAAAAGAAAAGTTAAAAAAGCAAACTACTCTTCTCACCCACTGTGCCAAAAACTCAGTTCAGCATTGCTTACTAGGGAAATATATTTTAATAAAGTAACTTTGAGTGCCACTTAGCTGGCATACCAGATATCAGACAATAAAACAGATTGTAAAACTATAATTACAAGTGCGATACTATCACATATATATGTGCACAGATAGACTGGTGGAACTGAATACACAAATAGATTCAAGAAAATATGGAAATTAGTACATGATAAAAGTGGCATGTCATCACTGAAGCATAGTGCTGGGGAACTGATTAGCCCTTTGGAAAATATTAAATTAAACCCATTCCTCCCACAGATCATAAGGAAAAACTCCAAATGAATCAGGGATTTAAATGT